GAGCAAGCAGCTGGGCATGAAGCTCCACTAGGAATTCTGCGTGCGACATTGGAGACCCACCATTTCGCTTATGTGCCTCACGAAAGATGATATACGCATTCACAATCGCCACATCCACAAGCCCCAAGAATATGGACTTGTAGTATTTCTTGCACCAAGTCTGCAACTGCAACGAGTAACGCTGGAGGCGCAGCTGGTCATGGACATCCACGCCCCCCATCCATTTGTGATAGTCTCGAATCATAGCAGGACAAGGGACACCAGTCCGTCTGCCGTGTGTTCCACGTGTACGCCTCTCTGATAACAAGCACAACATTGATTAGATGAATAGGAAACAGCACTCCTCTTGCATATACGTACGACACTCCTCCATCGCACGGCTCGATCCAGTCCCCAAGAATTGCACGGGTTTTCTATCCCACCACACTAAAGCCGTCATTAGGGGGCAAGCTTTTGCCACTGCCATTCTTGTTGTACCGTGCGGTATGCTTTTGGGTCGGTCTCGATTTTTTTCAACAATTTGCTGAGGATAGCCCACTTTGTCACCCATTATCGTGCCGATACTGTAGACATTCCTATGTAGTAGTTGAAACGCCAGTTGAACTGACGTATAAAATCGATCCGTCACTACAATGTGATAGACGTCATCTTCGGGTGGTGGCAGGACAGCTTCCAAGTTTCGGATAACTGCTGACGGCCCGGTGTTTGGATCTGCAGATCGCTGACTGTCTGGAACGTTGCCTACTTCATGGACCTGCTGCGCTTTGCCACAATACACCTCAAGTCTTCTTGTTGTAGGATACAGCATACAAGCATACAACATTAGATACAACATGATAGACTTGGTTAAAAAAAAAAACCGCGAGTCCGCAAGGACTCGCGGTCATCTCACCTCATACAGTAGGAAGTATCTGCACAACACGTCAGAAAAAGCTTTGTGCCCCACTTGTGAGGCTTCGCCTTGAGATATTGACGCGTAGGATTGTTCCGGTTCTTCAGAGGTAGAACGCCCTCATCAAATGATATGATCGGCGGCGTTTTGTAACCCAACGGAAACGTTTCTTGCAGCGTTTCAACGATAGACCTGACTTTCCAGGCGCGGTCAGTTGCTGCTCTCGTGTCTGCGTTGTTGGTGAAGTGAAGATTTCCCATGATGTGTTCAAAGCGGTTTCGCGGCAAAAAATCGTTGAACGTCCCCCGTGGGATAGCTCCCACTGCATTAGTGCCCCAATGATCACGTAACCTGCGGCGGTGAGGGTTCAGCATTCTTGCCATCAGTAATCCAAGCGCTTGCAGTATCTCGTGCGGCTTGACGTCCCGCTTCTTGGCCTCGCGATGCAAAAACCACTCTTTGGACTTCTTGGCAGGTGTCTTCTGCGAGCTGAACATACGCTCCACTCGTGAAGTGAGGTTCTGCACAAAGTAGCGATTGGTTTCCTTTGCAACTTGTCTCCACAAACTCTTCGGCATGAAAAAGAAGAATAGCTTGAGCGGTGAGTGTGTCAGGGCCAGTACCTCGTCGGTTGGTCCATACTCCCCAGAATATAATCCTGGGTAATGTTGGTCAGGCGGGAAATTGTCTGGGTCTACATGTTGTATATACATCATATATCATGTTAGAATATGTTGGAGGCTACACCCCTCATTGTCACGAACCTAAGTTCCACCCGTTAGCTCGCATGGCAGCCATGTTGGCATCGTCCATCACAAAATCAACCATTTCCGGCTTCTCTAAGACGCTCCACTGCTGTGTCGAACCAGCTGCTTCTCCATCAGCACTCATAGTATCTGATCCAGCCTCACTATCGTCCTCATCACTGTAGTCTTCACCCGACGCAAAGCCCTCACCTTCACTTCTCGCTCGACTCCACTCGTCATCATCATCGTAAAACGTAATCTCGGTCTCTGTTTCCTCGCAATCAGAGTTCAACGCATCAAACTCGTCAGCGAAAGCGGGGGCAGCGATAGGAGAGGCTGAGACCGACGTTCTTTCAGGTGAAATTGGAGCGGAACACAGCGAGGCTGGAGCAGAAGTCGGCGAAACAGGGGTAGAGGTTGCCGCGTCGGGGACAGGAGTCTGGGAAATGGATGCTGAGCTTTCACTATGATACGCACAACGTTAGTATACATAATCAGCATCAAAGACTTTGCCACGTACCAATCGTCTTCTGGTGCTGCAACTGGACATTCAGGAGCTGGACATTCAGGAGCTGAACATTCAGGAGACGGGGGTGGCGCAGGCGCTGCAGACAACGTTCGAGGCGACGGTGCTTCTGACGTATCTTGAGGATCGGTGAAACCCCTGTCGATAGACAATATATGTTAGCTGCTGTTCATGTTGTTTACATGTTGTCGATAACGACGTTGTAGGGAAAGCATAGCGACGCTGTATCCATGTTGTATGTCCCAAATGTTGTATGTACCTGCGCAGCGTACAACAACATTTCGTGAGAACATGTAGTATCTGACAGCATAAAACATGGTGTACCTCTCTGGTGTCCCCACTTGGTTGGCGGCTCCTCTTCTTGTTCGCTTCACCAATCGCCTCCAATCTCTTCCTGGCCTCGGCCAAAGCGATGCTCCCTTGTTCCTCGGCATTCACCGAATCTTCACAGCGCGATTCGGCAGCTGCTGTCCTCGCTGCTTTTGCCGCTGCCTTAGCAACTTGCGACGCGGTGGGTTTTCGTGGCTTCTTGGTCGGGGTCGCCTTCTTGGTCGGGGTCGCCTTCTTGGTCGGGATCGCCTTCTTGGTCGGGGTCGCCTTCTTGGTCGGGGTCGCCGCGGCCGTCTTCTTCTTCTTCTTCTTTGGCGGCCGTGTCTTGACTGGGGAGTCTGCTGCATCTAGTCGCTCATCGTCTGCATCAGCATCCGCTTCCTCGTCGAACCGATCGGAATCATAGTCCTCATCATCGTCGCTCAAGTCCCTACTAGCAGCCAACCGTTTCTTGCCGGAGCCTGCCAACGTCTTTGCGGCGACAGCACGTTGCTGTTGCGAGATCAAACGTCGCTGCGCACGCACGTAACAGGCATCTTTGCCGATCGGAACCGGAAGCAGAGGACGAGCTGTCGCGCTGCGTGTAGGTGCTGGATCTTCTCCGAAGTCAGCATCCTCCTCTCGTTCGCCAGCCAGGTACGCCGCATGCTCCTTCCTGATGCGCTCTCGGTCGTGCGCAGTTCGGCCATCCAGACGTTGCAGGAACTGCTGGCGTTCGCGGCGTGTTTCTCGAGGCGGGGCCATCGTGCACACGTGTCTCTCCTTCAGGTCTTTTCTCGAAATGAGCTCTCAGCCACCAACCCAGGGGAGAATCTGTATTGTTTATTGCCAAAGAGACTGATCTCAACAACCCCAGCCCTGTGCATTCTCAAGTTTGCCCATATTTTGCAACAAAATAGCCCAACTTTTAACATGTTGTACGTACAACATGATTCCTGCTGTACGTACAACCGTTGGGCGTTGGGGGGTTAATTAAAGCGATACTCCTAATAGTTACTGAATCTATCCGGACGGTTTACCTCAGCAGTACACATGAAACTCGATTGAAATTAAGATTCAATTACCCTGCAGATATTTTGGCCCAGACCCGTATATTGTCTCGGTGATTAGCTTGTTTTTTTAAGCTATTGTCAATTCCGTTCAAATTTGCCGAAGGTGTGCGTGTTGGGGAAAGGCAGCAATCGGGCGATAAGGCAACAAGAAGCTATGGTCCAAAATAAGAAAACAACGCTGATTATTAGCCTAAATATATTCAATAAGGCGCTGGCTGCATGTTGAAGTGCTGCGCTCATAGCGTAGTGTGCGAACACCATAGAGGAAGCTGCTACACGGCAGCACGCCCACGCCAACACTGTGTACCATTGCCTCTATGCTTACTACAAGCTTGATTATTCCAAAAAGCATCTTGCGCACATCTTCAACAAGTTGGAGCGCACAATCCGTAACAGGATTAAGGTGTACGAAACTACGGGGGTATTTCAGCGAGTGAACACAGTCACCAGGAGACAATACACACAGCAGCAGCGTCAATGGCTGTTTAATTACTACGAGGAGCGACCTCTTGCGTATCTTGACGAAGCCCAAGATGCTTTCAAGAGGACTCATTCTGTTGACACCTCAAAAACGTCAGTCTGGAGAATAATACACGCGTATGGCCTCACCTGGAAGGTGTTGGAGCGACGCGCGATGCACATCAAGGAACGTGACGTGCTTCGCTTCGTGGAGGAACTAAGCCACGTAGACTGGAGCCACCAAAACATTGTTTTCCTGGACGAGGTCAGCTTCGATAACAGAGGCATGATACGCAAGCGAGGTTACGCTATTCGTGGGAAGATGGCTGCTATTCGCGGTGAATTTGAGCGAAAGCCACGGGTTTAATCCTAGCGTTTATTGGCGTTAATGGGGTTCTAGACTACTTCAGCACGGAGGGCACATGTGACCGAGTGGAGTTCACAAAATGCTGTCAAGATTTCGTACATTGCCCAAGTGGACCGGTTCGTCAATACCCTGGTCGAAATTCAGTCTGGATCTTGGATGGCGCTACTATTCACAGGCACCCAGAGGGTGTGCACTTCCTTCGCAGTGTTGGTGCTGTGCCCATTTTCCTTCCGGCTTATTGCCCTTTTTTTAATCCGATATACTTTCTGTTTGGCTACGTCAAGCGCTCATTCCAGCGACACTACCTCGAATCTAGTGGGCGTGATCTTAAGCCTTTTGTTGTCCAGACATTTCGCCGGTTCCGACGATACAATCTCAGCAAGGTATTTCAGCACTGTGGATGGAATATTCAAGCTTACTTTGATCCTGTTGGGCCTCTTTCGATTGAAAAGCGAACGCAACCAGAACTCAACACAATGACGACCAGAAATGATGACTTGGAGTTTACTGTGCTTGATGAGGAATCGTAAACTTTAACTAGTCAAAGTACGATACGTTTTAGCTCTCACACTTGAGAGATAATAGAAAACTTGCTTGACTATGGTAATTCTTACTCGGCATGCTCTGTGTCTTCGATGTCCTCAATCAGGGGCATCGGGTCGATGATCGTGCTTGGAGACGGAGACACGAGATTGCGAATAATGCCTTCAATGATAGCTTCACGTGCTACCAATCGCTGTTCTTGATCGTCAAGGTAACGTCCAGCAGATTCAAGGTAGCGACGGAGCTGCTGACAGTCGCCGATAGAGGCGTTCACACAGTCTAGCGCCACACTGGAAGATAGCGCTACTCCATTTAAATGCTCCTCAAAGCGTGACTCCGCTGGATCGAGAAGGTTTGAAATGTAGCTTGGCGGTGGGCTGGCAATACTAGCATTCCAAGTCGAGCGATTTAGATTTCGTGTCACGTGGTTCGCCCACATACGCTAGACAACCGCCGATGCCTGAAAAATATTTCCCCACTTCTGTCGAAGCGCCTCAACTACTTCTCGCAGGGAACTTTCTGCTGTTGCACCTGCACGATCCGTCTCCTCTGGTTGGACGCACGCCTTCATAAAGTCATCTCGGTCTTTAGCAGTTGCAATGACCATACCGTACTCGTAGACCATGAGAGTCACAGTAGCTCCTTTATTTGCAACGAGCCATTGGTTCCATGCTTGTGCTGACTTTGTAGAGACGACAATGCGTGTTTTTACCTTGAACTGTAGCAACTTTGCCCACTCCGAGAATTGAGGATCCTCCACGCTCCAGATACCATCGGTCTTGACGGCTTGCTTCTTTGTGCTAGGAGAAAACTTCTCCCAAACAACCTCCATAATGCCGTCAAAAGAACGTTTAGTAAGCACTTCATCACGTTGTACCTCACCGGACGTATCCCACTGGTTAATTGATGTCTTTATAATGGGCCGAAGAAGTAGTTGGAAAAGATCACCAGGAGCTTCATAAGCCGCTTCATGAACTGATACAGTTTCTCCTGCCTCCATGGGTCTGACTACAGGCGCAGCATCGCGTTCAGGAGCGGATAGAGTCGCACTGGCTTCAACATGACCGACAGAAGCAATCTCTGGAGCAGGAAGTGTCGCGCAGAAATCAGTAGAAGCTGTATCAGTGCGCTCTGAAGTCGATGTATTCTCCAACGTTCCACGAGAAGCAGCAGCGACAAACTCGGAGGGAGACACATCGGTCCTGAACTCAGCAGGAGCGAGTGTTGAGGCAGGTAGAGTTGTCCGGGTGCCCGTTCGACGCGCTGGAGGACGCCGTTCTTCGCTTGGTGAGCGATCCAGATGACAGAGAGAGGCTCCGTCTCGTGGTGAGTGGATGGTCACAATGTACGGCGATGTGCGTGCATGGCCACGCCGGAGCGGGGATTGTAGTGGTGTCGACGCAGTGCGGGCCCTCGAGTGAGAGTGATTGTTGGTGCAACCAAAGGTTTATTTTGTAATCCAGGTTTACACGATTTGTCGGGCGTGTGGGCGGGCGGAAATTTCGAATAGAACGCACAATAATATTAATACACGTAGTTCTTCGGAATCAGGAAATAAGAATATAATAATATTAAGTACAATTAGTGAAAAACAATATTGGTGGCGACCAGGTTTACTGCAATAAGTTATCATTTTGGATTTAGACGTCTGGGGCGTCCGAAAGCATTTGAAGCGCCTCTCCAGAGGACAATTGAAGCCCTACTTAAAGCACGGATCAGTCAGTAGCTTCACTGGCATAAATTGTGCCAAGGCGCTGGCCCTGAGTTGAACTCTCTACAGCATGGACTTGAGTTGACGCGACCTTTGCAGTGTCGCGGTCTTCCTCTAATCGGGGTCGTGAGTATCTTAAGCTGACGTAGGAGGTAGTAGTATTAGCGACATTACTGGGATAGAAATGTAAAAGTTGATATATTCTTGTGTTGTTTGTTGGTAGCAAATCCACGACTGACCTCCTCATTTCACCTCGCTACGAGCTTCCAGAGCTCCTTACCTTTCCGCAGGTCCCTCGTGTGTGGCGGTCCAGATCTAGTTCCCGCCACGACCAGCTGCTTCACGACCTCACACTTGGAACGTCACTGTCTTGGTCGGAGGTCCCGCTTGCTTGGCCGTGGTCCGGAGAGTCTGGAGTGAGTAGACCTTCTGCAGGCAGTCAGCCAGCATCGTTAATCCACCATCTAGCTGTACACCGTGACAATTCTCCCCGACTGACGCTCGGTGTCCTCGCCGAGCCACATCGCCCGGAGCCTGTCGCACGGTGTCTTCCATGGTCAGATCTGGTACGTTCCCACGTGACGTTCCACTTGCATTCGGACTCTCGTACCTTACCCCAGACGACGTTCCTTCGGCCTGCATGCCTCGCAGTCGTTCCACGCTAGCTCGCTCTCTTTCCTCCCGACGCTCTATACGACCAGCGAGTCCTTCCTACTTGGATCTCGCCGCCTTATCATTCTGGTCTATAGCGCTTGGCCGGAGCCCTTCATAATATCGCAACACGTAACTGTAGCAACCGACAACTAACACAGCCAAATTCCAGTAGCAACAGCCAATTTCAAACTCCAGGTAGACGACCACGACCAACACAACTTGCGTCACTCCCATCCAGCCGCACAGCACTCCTTCGACGCTCTCGTACACCAGGCGGGGCAGGTAGATTAGGATTGACAGTAGTAGTGACGTCAGCAAGTAGCTCCCAGCGATAAAGTCCCCAACTCTATCCACAACAGCTATTACAGCTTTGCTAGTGGCGCGAGCGTACCGGCAGGACGTTCCCCATAGCAAGAGACTCGCATCTGGAACGTACAGGCAGCACGAATGATGGAGCGCCTCACACCACTTAAGGCACATACGACCTGTAATCCCGAATCGGGACTCGTAGTCCTGTAACACCGCGATAGGAACCAAGAACAGTAGCTTCACTAGCGCGCACGCGTAGTCCAGAGGTAGCACAGCGGCGGCATGGGCATTTCGAGCCGCCCCCAGGTAGCGATCGCAGCAAGTATACCAGAAAAAGTAGATGGCACGCACGTTCTCGATCGCTCCGTCGAGGAACGCCCACGACACGTTCCACAGAGGCGTCGTCGCAATCCAGATCACAATCCCCATCACAGCGCTGCCGACGACCCTCATCTCGTCCGCCACTTCGAACTCCATCGCCCAGTTTGCCTGTTCCGCCCATTTCGCAAACGTTCCTAGCATCGCCATCAATTGTCAAGTGACATCGTCTCAAAAGCAGCTCCTGCCGACCGTTAGCCGTTAGGAAGGTTCTTTAACCGACACCTTGTCCGCCCAAGTCACCAAGCATCATTGCGTCCCTCAGTCAACGCCACGTCCCAACTGTCGAACCTTCTCGCGTGCCTCTTGGCAGACATCAAGTAAAAACTTTCAGTTTTCGAGTTTCTCTCATTTCGCATTCCGCTCCCGCCATGTCCACGCGACTTTCCGCCGCCGAGCTGAGGCACTTCCGGGCATTCTTCAACGCCGCCCTCGACCACGAAGAGCAGGGCACCCCCGGGGGACACTGCGCGAGCCTTCCAGCAGCAGTTTTGGACCGAGCTGCGCGCGCGCCTGGACGCTAACAGCATGTCGTCGGGTCTCCGGTTCCTCGACCAGCTCGCCGAGGACATCCTGAATGGTCAGACCGACACTTCGCTCCAAGGAACCGTCGTGGCCCTCCCCGCGCCGTCAGACTCCGCTCCCGCTTCAGGCTCCGCTACTGCGTTGACAACGTCGTCGAGCAAGCTGTCGAAGTCGCCTTCCAAGAAGACACCCAAGTCGCCTAAGTCGCCAGCGCGAGGCAAACGTAAGTCCAGCGGTGCCGACTCTACTTCCAAGTCGTCCGCGAAGAAGGCTCGCGTCGTCAGCAAGCCCAAGAAGTCGCACGTTCCATCCAACGAGTTTGGTCATCTTCTCGACGTGAGCCGCACTGCTCCAGCTCCCGTTCGTCGGGCAATTGCTGCCATCTTGGCGAAGGCAGAGGCCCTTGGTAAGAAGCCCTGGCGCCTCGCGTACCCTTGGACCGGACGTCCCATGTGGTACGATCCAATCAAGTTCAGTCAGGTATACCGCGCGCACTGGCGTTTCTGGATGACCCATCGCCGTGCTTTCTGGGAGTGGGCTCTACACGCTCCTCTTGCCACGGCCGCGGCCATGACTTAGCGTCGTAAGCTGAAGATGCGCGCCGTTCAAGCCCGCTGGGCCTTCACCAGCCTTTGCACTGAGACATGGGGCTTTTATGCCTTCCTCAAATTGCTGGAGAAGCGTATTGGCTCGGGGGCCAGCCCGGCAGAGCCACACGCGATGGCCGCCCCTACAACGGACCCATTGCCGAGGACCTAGCGACCCAGAAGCAGAAGGACAAGAAACGCTATGACGCCACGCTCGAGAACGCGCTGGACCCGTCGACTATCGACACTTACAGGTACCCTAGCATGCGCTCTTTGTTTGAGTCTACGGACGCGCTGAATCCGGCCGCAGACGAGATAAGCCGGCTCGCCCTCGCTGCCCTGGCGCGAGTTCGCCGCGACACCATATCAAGCACAAAATCAAACGTGACTTGGGCTGGTGAGAAGAACGAGGAGCCGTGGCAGACGCTCGTAAACGACCACGCCGTCAAGTTGGCTCAAGACGACATCATGGCCCAGATCACCGCGGGAACGTACGAAGTCCCAACAGTCCGTCCACCGTCCAGTGCGGAACGTCGCCGCGACGAGTGGTCCGAGTTCGAAGATGAAGGTAAGGACGAAGAGAAGGAAGCTGCGGTCGAAGGTGACGACGCTTCTGGTAACGACGACGAGGAGTCCGAAGCCGACGACGACGAAGACGAGCAGGAAGAGGAGGAATTCGTCGAGCACGAGGACGACGACGAGGACGAAGATGAGGCCATCCAGAAGAAGGCCGCCAAGTATCCCCGAGATCCTTCCGTCTTTTGCGATGTAGCCGTTCGTAGCTCTCGTTCCTTTTTAACCGTAACGTTCCGTCGTTTCTCATCTTCGTGCATTGTTCCTTTTCCGTCGGCTCTTCGTTTCTATCGTCAACGAATCTCTCTTAAGACGCTTCTTCTCGTTCCAAACCAACGCATCCGAACTCCCTCGGACTCCAAACTACCGCTTCATAAACTTCCTCACTTTCCAGACTGATGCTTCACGAACTCCTTCACGTTCCAAACTGATGCTTTACAAACTCCTTCACGTTCCAAACTGACACACTCAGTCTTTGTATGCTCGTGACGTTCTCAAAATATCCAACTCCGTAAAACCCAAAGCACAACCCGGGTCGTTCCAAAATAGAAAATATGTACACGTCACTCAGTGTTCCGAGACTCAGCGAGCCCCAAACACTCTCATGCAGTCCCACAACTGCACGCATTCTAACCGGCTTCCGTTGCCAGCTAGAACAACACCTCAGCATCGTCGACATCAGCATTGGCTTCGACCAATCTGACGTTCCGACGCAACTCCGGCAGACCTCTCTTTTTCCGATCTGCGTCCTCAAAGGCACGTATCATCGCTCCAAACTTCGATGCCAACGCCGTTCGAGACAACCAGAACGTCTGATACGTGGCGGTGAGTACGAGATACGGCAACTCACGCTTTTCGACTCTCTTCGCGATCACGTCCACTATCGGCGACGATACTCCCGAAAACGCAGTGTCTTCTTCGCCAATCGAGAGACGTTCCACAAAGCTCGTCGACGGCAAGTCCTCGACGTCCAATGGACCTGTGCCGTCCTCATCCTCTTCTTCTTCGACTCTGTCAGGCTTCTCGTCTGCGTAGGGTCGGCTCCAGCGTCCTTGAAATCGCTTCAGACGGTTGACGTTCACCGTGACGACCTTG